TAAATTGGAAGCAACAATGCCTGGTACCTCTCTGGCACGGATGTAGTGAGTTGAGTTTGCTATTATCAGTTGCAATAAGCTATTTAACAGTTACTAGCTAAAATACAGGAATACTCTTACAAAACACACTAATGAACACTACTTTGCTCTATTTAAATAAAACGACAGAAATTGTGTAATACGAAAGGCTTTATTATCAAAAAAATATAAAACATACCAGCTTTTACCAAAAAAAACTAAAAGAATTATAGCTTTTTCGTCCGTATCATACATCGTAACGTAATACTCGGTCGTAATTATTCAATTCAGTCTTAACATGACTTAAAAACATATAGTAAAAATAAGTAAAAATTATATAAGTACTTATTACCAATTATCTACTTATTGGCACAAGTCAAAGATTTATGGCACCTTGAATTGCACAATATATTAGCTTTTTTACAATTGCACTTATTTGATAAACACTGTCCCTTAGAATATTTTTTGGAGTTGCATTGCTTTATTCCTTGCTTACTGATTATTTTACGAGTGAGTTCAGTAAGTTTATCAATTTACGAAAATGTGGACGTAAAATATTACAATTTATTTCCCGTTTAGAATCCTAAGAAAGTTTATAAACTTCCTAGTAGATTGATAAACTTACGGATCTTGCTATTTTCCGGTGACATATACTATAGATGATCTAACTATCAAAGAACGTGGACCGTCGAGTTCAAGGTACATTTGTATTATAAACAATTGAAATAAATATTAACGAAAATAATATACGCTATTAATATAATCTTAAGGTCTATCAATAACGGAAATCAGAAATTACGTACCGTTACATTACGATTTAGTCCAATAGATAAAGTTTGTTTTATGGAGAGACTTCTCCAGGGTAATACCGGACTTTACGAAAATACTTCGTAAAGATCCTTCGTTGTGAATGTTTCATTAACAGTGCCATGAAACGTAGAGCCTATGTTTATAGTTATTGAAAATGAGAAACCGTTTGTTAGTGACATGTCAAAGCCTGCGTTTGCGCATGTAGCCCTCCCACTGTGTTCATGAGAACCAAGGACCGCCAATTAACACCAACTAACCCGTAGCATCTCATGTTGATTTAATGTACATTAACATAACTAATATATTTAAATAACTTGATTTTTTCGTTAGACAGGGTTTTTTCGTTTGATAACTTTGAAACAATCAGTTTAATGTTTGTAATTACAAGTAGGTATAAAGAATTAAATTTACGCAATACCATTTGTAAAAGATTTGTTGTTAATATATTTTTATTTTTATAAATATACGATGTCGGGGAATGTTCATTATTTTTTTGGAACGAAGTTCCTTACGGCAGGCTTGGAGGGGATAGGGTTTTTGCTGCGCGACCGAACTGAAAAAAAAGTGATAGTAAAACCGTAAGAAAAAATCCGTGGAAAAAAGTGCGTGGAATAAAACCGTTAAATGAGACGTGCGCAGGCGCGACAGTCGCATACACAAGCGAGTTTGCAATTCGATTCTACATTAGCCGAAGGAACTTCGTTCCTACCTCTGTCCCACGACACCACATCATTTTTTAATTTTAATCTCAACTTTAGTAGTTGGTGCGTAAAAAATCTTATATTATTTTCATTTATTTCATTTAACTATAATATTTTTGAACGCCGTTATCAATTTTATCATGTCTCTTAACCCCTTATTCCAAAACGCGGACCAAAGTTAGTCGTGGTTTAAACCTAACGATATCTCTGTCTTCTTTTTAGCATACAAAAGTGACGGCATCAGTTTTAGGCCCGTATTACAGAAAGATTCTCAGTGATTGATCTAGTCTTGAGCATAGTTAGAAAGGGATGTCGCTATATATAGCACATAGCAACATCCCTTTCTAACTGTACTCAAGTAAAGATAAACACTTAGTTCTCATTCTGTAATACGGACCTTAATCCAGGTTTAACTTGAGTCTAGTAACTTTAGTTTAGAAAAGGGCATGAAAATAACAAGTTGTTAAAACAGCCGCTATAGAATTTCCATGCGTCGATTTATAATGGTGGCCACAACACTACTATGTTTACTACATAAAACGAGCTTTTCAGCGCCACTCTACCCGTCATTCAGCCGTCAAGTTTCTCTTGACAGAGTCGAGGCGTTAGAAATGCTGGGAATCTGACAGCCCTGTGCTAGAGATCTAAAAGAAAGCAAGCACAAAATCATAAACCTAGCTTTTCTCTATGAAAAAATCATAAATCTATTAGTATAACAAACATTCTTTGTCGTATACAAAAAAGCTTTTCAATGAAGTTATGCTACTTTTTAAATAGCATTTTTTTTTGAAACGATAGATATCATAATTAAGTGGTGTAATTACGAAAACGAAAATAGTTTGATTTTGACATTTGGTGTCTTTTCCACAGCTCTATTTTTTGCAAGAAACTACAAGTTGGTAAGTGAAAGCTTCTTAAACTACTTTTCTCGTTGACAGACTTACGCACATCTATATATATAAAACTCAAAGGTGACTGACTGACATAGAGATCTATCAACGCACAGCCTAAACTACTGGAAGGATCGGACTGAAATTTGGCATGCAGATCGATGTTATGAAACTTTGTCAATTTTAAATCGATCTGGCTGATACTTTGCATGCAGGTATAAGAAGAATCATAGATGAATGTCATTGTGTATAATACAAGCCTGAGAACAAAAACTGTAGTCTACACTTCAGCTCTACACCGAAGCGAAGCGAGGGCGGGGCCGCTCGTTTTACATAAGCATTTATTACGCTCGTTGAGAGGAAAAGATAATGATTAAAAGTGACAGAAAATCGCATAATTTACATTTTTGTCAATGAAAATTGTAAAAAATACAGTATTTGTCGATTTCTTTTCAAATGATGAACTGGATTAACCATACAATCAGAAATAAGTTAAAACTTTAGCTGGCAGCACACCATCTGTCTACGTCGTACCGCCTTACAATGGACACGTTGACGCAACCTAAAACATTGGCTCGGCTGACATCGCTATAATTAATGCTGAGTTTCGACCAAACTAATGATGGTTGGCTGTTGCACAAGCTGCGCCGCCATCTCGGCCCTGTGTATACAGAGACGTTTATCTTGAATAGGGATGATGACTAATTTTTTTTTCTTCGTTTATCGGGTAGATTATCAAAAAGTATTGGACACGTATTTTTTCTTTTTTCAAATAATATAAACATTGCAGAGATATATTGATTTGAAAAGTCGCATGACGTCACGTTTGAGTACACTTAAAAGTGAAAATTCACTCAAAAGTGACGTCACGAGCCCCTACTCTCAAACTTTGACGCGCTATAACTTTGTCATTTTTTGGTTGATTGCCTAAAGAAAAAATACGTGTCCATTATTTTTTGATCATCTAACTGACGGACTAAATAGAATTTCGTTTTTCTGTACCCCGTCATCACCCCTATTATAAAGTTATCCGGCTTACTAACAGCCAAGATTTTTTGACGAAATTAATCAACATGTTACGAGGTTACTGCACTCATAAAAGAGGCAATTTAAAAAACTGTGGCGTCCTAAATATTGTTAAACTAATCCAGTTTAAAAAATAAGATGTTTGTCATCATTTCCATCGCAATCTGTTTATTTGAGTCAATTTTTAGTAGAGCAAATGCTAAAGAGGTAGAGTCACGCAAGTGCCACTTAATTAAAATGTCACTTTCTGCATAAATGAACTGCTGATGATGATGATGATGAATTCAAGAATATAATTTTCCGACTCTTTAACCAATAAACCATGTAGTTTACTTCACTTTTTTTTTACATCAAATGCTTAAGACTTTTTTTCTGCGCGTAGAGATGTATATTGTACCTACTGTTTTAACTAATACACCACAATTTTGATGGGAGAATGCAAATGGTTATGTATCGCCTGAGCTTGAGAAAAAAATTTGGTTTCACAATCATAGACCGAAATCTCTGAGCAAATCATGCCAAAAAAAATTACTTACAATACAGCTATACCCCGAGACGTAAAATAACTTTTAAGTTTAATTAAAGTTATTGTTGTCACTTCACTTTCTATACAGTAGATCAAATCGTATAAGTATAAGTACGTGAAATTTATTTGTCTTTCTGTATACGGCAGTGGGTCCACAAAAAGCTGAAAATATGTCCTCCTCGTCTTTAGCTTGTCTCTTGATTTTTTTCTTATTTAAAAGGATGGCAAAAATTTGTCAGTGCCTGATGGTAACGACCGCCATAGCCTATATGAACGCTTGCAATACAAAAAATATCACTCGCCCTGACCCCATCCCCTACCCCGTGGAATCCTGGAACCTAAACCACCGTCAAAGACATAACACAGCTAAAATGTTGTATTATTTTACTACGGTTTCGTAAGGCGGAGGTGACTTCCACCTCCCTCTCTTTAAATTTGTATCTGCAGACATGAGTATCTCCTTGTCCCTATGGTCCCTCTCCCCTTTCTGGGGCGGACGAACACGAAACGCCTTCGTCGCCAATCCCAGCCGTCCCGTGCCCACTCTGAAGTGGTACCGCTGGCTCCAAATTGAATGGTCCTCTTCTTTCTTCGCCTCGGGTCTTCTCTCTTCACCTCTCGAGTCCACTCCGAATCCTGTGCCATCTACGCGCGAAATCCCGCAGCCGCCTGAAGTTCGCCTCCGATCCTACAAGGTCACGATAGTAGACCGGCCCAATCTCGAGCACCTTCACACTGTCCAGAAGTTCCCTACGCGCCTCCCCGTAGAGCTTACACTCCCACAGAGCGTGGTATGCGTCCTCTACTTCTCCCTCCCCGCAGTAGCACGACCCCACCTCCGCGAGCTTCATTCTGTGAAGCCTACCCCTGAAACAGCCGTGTCCCGTCAGCAGTTGCGAAGTTTCATAGTCAGGCTCGACCCAAGTATACTTGAGTCGGGCCTCAACTTCCGGGAAAAACCGATATAGTTCCCTCCCCTGTTCCGATGTGTGTTTTCTGTCTTATTTTGGTAAACTGGTATTGTTCTAGATGGCCAGTATCGAAGTGTCGCTGGCTGGGTCCCGGCGACGCAGCGCCGGCGCACGCGATACCGCTCGCGACCTGGAAGCCCTGCGCACCGCCCTCACCGACAAAGACGCACTCATACAGAGGTATTTCAAGGAGTTTATGGAGCATGAATTAAATAATTTAATTAATTATTTAATGACTTAGTCATAGGTGATTTGATCAGTCACAAAGAAGCATTAAACATTCCCGAATTTTAATTCAAATCAAAGCTCCAAGCTCACAGTTTACTTCGCAGTATGTTTAAATCTCGAGTAGTGTATGAGGAGCTCGATGGCGCAAGTGGTTCGTGCGTTCGGCTGCGATCGTTGAAGTTAAGCACCTTTCGCAGTGGTCGGTCATTGGATGGATGACCAAAAATTTACTATCTCGAGCTCCTCCGTGCTTCGGAAGGCACGTCAAGCCGTTGGTCCCGGCTGCATCTGCAGTCGTTAGCACCCACCAATCCGCACTGGGCCCGCGTGGTGGGTCATGGCCCAATCTCGCTATTCCATGCATAGGGAAGACCTGTGCCCGAGCAGTGGGGACATTAATAGGCTGATGATGATAATGATGTTTAAATATCAGTATTTTTAATTTTAGTCCATGAGCAAAGTAGAATGATTCACATTTTCCATTTGAAGAATGATTCACGTTCTTCTTTTGTTAAATAACACTAGATAAACTAACTTTAATCCGATTCTTCCGTAGCCTAAAGAAGCAATTATCAGCGTCGCTGAGCGCCGCGCGTTTGGCCGCGCAGGCGGTGTCGCCGGTGCCTTCAGCGCGGCCGGGGGAGGAATACCCCTCGCTCTCGGTAGACGAGAGGAAGGCGCTGGAAGACCGCGCCGCTGCCGTGCGTGCCGACCTTGAGGCGCGCCGGAACAACATACAGGAGCTCCGACGGAGGCTCGAGAAGACGCATGTCACTGAGTGAGGAATAGTCTATAATTTTCTTATCAAGCATATTTTTGTAAGGCCTTTGAAGCAGGATGCTGCTCTGTGCTGTGTATTTTTTTTATTCGGTAATAGGTAAGCGCTTGACCATAATTCGCCTGATGGAAAGCAATATTATGGTCTACGATGGAGCGCGCTTACCTAATAAAAACCGGTTCACTCTTGCTTTGAAGACCGCTAGATTGTAGTGCTCGGGGAACAAGTAGGGACACGAAAAAAGTATCGATACTTTGTGGTATCGAGTACTTTTCCTTTCGATACCGATACTTTTGTACTCGATACTTTGTATTCGATACTTTTACTAAATGAGTACTTTTTGGCAAGTATCGATACCTTTAAAAATTTGGATAAGCGCCTCATATTGATGGCAACGCCATCTTGTTAAATCATAGCAAACCTTCTAAAACGTTCCATAGGGTATTTGACAAGTTTTAGGCAACGATCTCACGTTATTGACTAATGTTTATGGAGTCCGTAAAAAGTGGATATTCATCATTCTGTCGTGTATTTCAGTAAAAATAACCAAATCAAAAACTCCATTTTCAAGTTGCCGCGAAAACGTATCTCTGGACAATATGGCGTCTTACTAGTGTGTGACGTCACACAACTGTTATTAAAACGTCAAACGATACCATGTAATGTCACTTTGACCGGAAGTTTACTTGCGTGAGACGTCATTTTAGGCTCCGCCAATCCCAAGCGTTTTGGGTTACGTGACAATAGATAAGAAAACTAATATCTTTTTCGTTATTTTGGCACTTTATTTTTAATACTGTCAAATGCCCTATTGCGTTGTTATAAAGTCAGTAACTGACATATTCAAATTCTTTCCAATCTGTGACTGTGTTTATTTTGCGCTTTGTTTTGTTTCATAGTTATTTATTTAGCGACCATATTGTTAGGAACTGTGATTGATTCGCCGTTTATTGTGCTTTTCGCTTGACTGTATTTGACTGTTTGTGCTGTGTATACCTATTTGAAACCACCTGAAAAAAAGACGGACGTAACCTCTTCCATAATTATAATCTTGAGTGAAGCATGCCAATGGCAGCCGTTAACTACGTGTCAGATTCAAGTTAACATAAGTGGGTATAATGTTTTTTGATGATTAAAATTCAAGAATCAAATCTGAAACAAATCTGAAAAGTTTCATACTTTTAAATTGTTTAAGATTTCGATCTTTTTAATTATGAATGTAATATTAATGAACACTTTTTTAGTGTCAGAAATCACAGCTATTTTCAATATAGCAATTTGTGAATTTACATGTCCTTTTTTTGTTTTTGATTAAACGTACTAAAATAAAATTCGATTGTTTTGCTTTCAATTTTAACACCGGGGGGGGGGGGGGGGGGAGGTTGCTCATCAGGCCACAGAGGCTCCGATAAGGCCCTATGAAATGTACTCGATACTTTGAAGTATCGATACTTTTGTTTCGATACTTTTACGAGTACGATACTTTTTTACCGATACTACTCATGAGTACAGTATCGATACTTTCTATTCGATATCGTGTCCCTAGGAACAAGGGCTCAGGCAAGGAATTCCACAGTTTGGCAGTCCGCACGATGAAGCTAGAAGTGAATCGCTTAGTGCAAGTCTTTGGAACTGCCACCGTGAATCGATGTCGCCTTGCCGTTTCCCTACTCGTCCGGTAGTAGAAAGGGGCGGGAGGAATTAGCTCATGTAATTCCTCTGCGCACTCACCGAAATGCAATGTGATGTCTCGTTGAACAGCGGAATTTGGTTCGGGTTAAGTGTTAATAATACAGCCAGGGGCTGAACCTAACCTTACTTCCTGAAGCCTATCCGATTTTACTTTCCATCACTAATCTTTATTGCACTGCTGCAACTGCACGAACATGACAGAATTAGCTGTATGATGGAATTCTCCGTAAGTGCGCTCTGCATTACGATCGTTTTGATTGATTGCAGCTAACATAGATTAATGAATGGTTTATTTTATTTGAACAGCAACATCGACACACGAATCCAGCAAGCAGAACTGCAGTATAAGCTAGGCCGCGAAGAGCTGGAGCTGCTGACGCTGGGCGAGCAGGCGCGCGCGCTGGCGCAGCTCATCGAGCAGTGCGACGCCGCCGCCCGCCGCAGCGAGCGCGCCACACTGTACAGGTGCGGGTAACAAATAACTGAAATAAAAGCTAGGCCGCGAGGAGCTGGAACTGTTGACACTTGAGCAGATCATCGAGCAGTGAGACGCCGCCGCCCGCCGCAGCGAGCGCGCCACACTGTACAGGTGCGGGTAACAAATAACTGAAATAAAAGCTAGGCCGCCAGGAGCTGGAACTGTTGACACTTGAGCAGATCATCGAGCAGTGAGACGCCTCCGCCCGCCGCAGCGAGCGAGTTAAGTTACTGCAACTGGTTAAAATAAAAAAGATATTTATTTGGACAGAGTAACAGTCTAGACTTAGCTAATACAATATTCTATTAATAATTAGTTACATTCGATTATATACTAAATTAAGTGTTTACGTTGCATCTTCATGTTTGACGTCGGACCTAGATATTGGCCTGGCGTTGCTGGTTCGTAGTGCTGACGAAGCTGAGCTGGATAGGTGTGCCGTCCTTAAGTAGCGCACCACACTGTAGTTAGGCCGCCAGGAGCTGGAACTGTTGATACTTGAGCAGATCATCGAGCAGTGAGACGCCGCCGCCAGCCGCAGCGAGCGCGCCACACTGTACAGGTGCGTGTACCAGATAACTGCAATAAAAGCTAGGCCGCGAGGAGCTAGAACTGTTGACACTGGAGCACAGAACAGCGAGCGCAACTATGCGGACAGCCCACGCACAACTACATCATATTTCGTTTACTCTCTGCGCGTACTAACTGCCTGATCACGACTTTTGCTCCATGAGCTCAGCGATGGTCTGTGTGCGTTCGGTAGGCTTTGCTTTACGCTAGTCCACTATACATACATTTGTTCCTGTCGCTCGGCGCTCTAAGCTGTCGCTCAAATAGTCATAGCCTGACGTTAGCGCAGGCAAAGGTCAACCACAAATTAACAATCTTTATAAAGACTTATTGTAAGAAGCGCTCATAACATCAACGCCAGGCTCGAGCGCAAACTCACCATACCAGGTGCTAACCACTCTCCACCAGTAAACCACCGGTCGATAGCAAGCGATAGTGGCGAAAGTAAAAACGTTACTGGTGGGATAGCAAGTGGCTTTAATTTATTTTAATAAAAACAAACGGCATGTTGAAACAAGGGATAAAACGAAATGATGTAGCATTGATAAGCCTTACACAGTTTTCACAAGTACCTACAATCAAACACAAATACTTTGTCCAATCCAATCACGAGGCCGTAGAATAAATTAAAACAAAATAAAAACACAGAATTATAAAACTAAGCATAAAGCCATACCTGTAGGTATTCTCTATAAAGAAAATGATGAAATTGAAATCAAGTTTTGTTATATTTTCTTGTTTTGCGAATGCGAAGAGATGGCGCAGCCTTGCAGCTTAAGAATGGCTAGAGGAATTTCGACGCGGTCCGTGAGGGCCGTGGTAGCATAATTGGTCAGTGCATTCGCCCGGATTGCGAAGGGTGCGGGTTCGAGTCCCGTCTGCTGCCTGGTCCGCGTGGATTTTTTTCTAATTATATTTTCTTTAGATTTAAGTTTTGTTAAACCTATTATGAAAAAAATTACTGTTCACAATGATTTTGAAGTTATTTTGTCTCGCCAGAAAGTGTGTTAAAGTTTAGTAATAATGAGTGATAAACTTGTTGAGTTGAGCCACAAACAGCTTAAGTTGCTATAGTTGGGAAAACAAATGCGCGGTACCAATATCCCCAAGTATTTTCAAACAGAGATATAAAGGAAATTAATTAAGTTTTATGTAAAACCGCAATTTAAAGGCTCTACAATTAGCAAACAATAAAATCTTCCCAGCAATGATTTACTACCGCTTCTATTTCCGCGTTTCCTTAACATGGGAATGTAACATTATACACGCATCGCGGTAATGGAGGCTATTAAAATTTTACGTGTCTATTGAAATCTGACGAGTCCGTGCGCCGGGCCACGCCGCCGCTGCCACCGCACAAAGGCAATCGGGGTCGTGTAAACGGTGTCATGGGTGGATCTAACAACTCAATTTAGGAAACCGTGAAGATCATAGCTCTAGGTGGCTACTAGCACAAATCGCCGGTAATAGGGGTGATGACGGGGTACAGTAAACGAAATTCTATTTAGTCCGTCAGTTAGATGATCAAAAAATAATGGACACGTATTTTTTCTTTGGGCAATCAACCAAAAAATGACAAAGTTATAGCGCGTCAAAGTTTGAGAGTAGAGGCTCGTGAAGTCACTTTTGAGTGAATTTTCACTTATAAGTGTACGCAAACGTGACTGCGACTTTTCAAATCAATATATCTCTGCAATGTTTATATTATGTGAAAAAAGAAAAAATACGAGTCCAATACTTTTTGATAATCTACCTGATAAACGAAGAAAAAACAAATTAGTCATCATCCCTATTGTTGCATTTGACGACCTCCGTGGCCGAGTGGTAAATACGCCGGGTTTCATGGTGTCGCCGACTCGAGAGGTCCCGGGTTCGAATCCCGGTGGGGGCAGATGTTTGTGTGATGAATACGAGCATTTGTACTCCAGTCATGAATGTTTAATATGTATTTCTATATAAATATACTTATATATGTACAGTATATGTATTCTGTCCGTTACCCTAGCATCCCATAACACAAGCCTTACAGTGCTTACTTTGGGGCTAGGCTAATTGGTGTGAGTGTTGGAAATATTTATTTATTTATTTTATTTATTTATTGCGTCACCATACGACCGTAAAGCAAGGGGCGGGGCGGGAAACTTTCTACGGGCTAATGTGGCTGCTATCGCTGGGAACGATCTGGTGGCCGGCCAAACAACGGCCAATCCGTCAATAGTAGAAAGCCGCGCCAATCGGTGTGTACTCTATCATTTGCACGCCGTAATTAGAGATGTAATCGAGGTCTACGAAATGTAACACCTTCGGACAGCAATCGCTACAGAGTGCGAGTAGCGAATACTGTCGGAGTTCACCGGAATATGCAAAAGTATCTAACACCCGTATTATAGAAATATTGTCAGTGATTGATCTAGTCTTGAGCATAGTAAGAAAGGGATGTCGCTATAGAATAGAATAGAATAATCTTTATTTGCATTAAATAGGGTTGACAAAAGGTGTTTGCATATGAAGCATATGTTAAAAGCTAAGAATCTTAAACCTATTTAGCCATATTAATAGCATGCTAATATATTAAAACATAACAGTCATATTATATTTACCTATCATTCATTTAAGTATTTTATCATTATAATTTAAATTCAAATTTATGTCAATATTAATTACAATTCTCAATGTCAGTTCAAAATAAAAATATTTTATGTCAATTTAGTGTGATATACCTATAATAACAATTTTTTTTCAGTACGATAATTTAAGATTATTATTCAATTCAATGTCAATATTAATTACGATTTCTGATGTCAATTCAAAAGTATTATTCATGTCAATATATTATATGCATTCAAAATAAAATAAATCCAAAATCGACATTCATATAGCACATAGCGATATCCCTTTCTAACTGTACTCAAGTAAAGATCAACACTTAGTTGTCATTCTGTAATACGGGCCTAAGTATGGTGCCATTCTGCAACAAATTAATTAATAGTTATGTTTTTTTTTAAACATTTAACTGCTAGATGTTTAAATCTAAAGAAAAGTTTTACTAGAAAAAATCCACGCGGACCAAGCAGCGGACGGGACTTGAACCCAACGACGGGACCAATTATGCTACCACGGCCCTGATGACCGCGTCGAATTTTTCCTAGCCTTAAGCTGCAACAAGTGTGTGCAAGCACAATGTCAATCAATAGTTGTACAAAACTACCATTTACTCTATTCAGCCTTTCCACTTTCCAAATTTACAGTTCCAAAATTATTTGATACTAGCTGTGCTTTGCGGTGTAACCCGCGTTTTATTAAGGGTATTTTCAAGCAGTAAAACGTAGTCACGTACACGGTAAACGGTGTCAGCTAGCTCCATACAAAATTTTATTAAAAACGCTCCAGCCGTTTGGACGTGAAGAAGTAACACACTCACAAACTTTCGCCTTTATAATATTAATGTGATAGCCTGCGTAGACGGGGAACAATTGCCGGCGGACTTTTTGTCCGTCGAAATAGATCGTTTACAATTGCACCGAGTAACGCACGCGACGCAGGTTATAAATACCGCGTACAAAGAATCCCCCGTACAACCGAGAGAGAGAGACCGAACAGGATAAAAGTCCGCGAATGTACCCGAAAATATAGAACTCATGTCACTAGGCGCGACACGGCGAACTTTCAGTATTCTTCTTTTCGGTAACTTCATGTTAATTACAACACAACCTTATCTGAAATTATTTACTTCCAAAGCATGTACTTATAAAAATTTTCGGGATCAAATGTTGGCACATCGTGTTAGTTGAGTCCGCGACAAGTCGAACACTACTCGAAAGCAGCGTCACAGAGGACTTGCAGGCTTCGGCCTGCGGGGACACCAAGAGACTGCTGAGCTTCTTAGGGAAGCTGGGATGCCATGACTAAACCCATCCTCTCACACCTGGTGGACCCAAAATATTCACCTGGTGTCGAGTTGCGGAAAACACCCACCGTACAGAAGAAGATTCTTCTTCTTCATCCTCGGCGGACATTTTTTTCATGATTCCGGGACTTTTGTCATCCGCGGACAACAGTCAACAGTCCTTCCTCTGCTCAAGCCAAAATAATGTCTTCCAGAACACCAACTTATTGGTATTGGTTGTCACCGTATATCGTATAAACATACGCACATCTTTAAACAAACTAATTAAAAGCAACTCAGAATCACGAAACAGGCTTATTTTTTTAAGGTTCGAATAGGAATCCGATCTCAGTATTTTAATTGGCATTTTAGGCACTTTGGCTTGGCATTCTATGAATTCGTTAGGTACACTTCCGTTACATTTGAATTAATTCATTAAATCTTATACCAACGAAGTTAGCAAGGTTGTTGTTGCGAGTGAGTTTTTGGATTAACATTCTGTAAATTCTCTTGATAATTTAAAGCTAACACTATACTTAAA